GTTCGCATTTTCCGTTATAAAATGAGAAACGAAGTTTTATATTTTTTGTATAATCTACCATTCGGTATCACTGAGTGGTGCAAGAGGTGTTAGATTTCGGCGCATTTGTGGATGGTGGAAATACTAGCGATCCGTTAATATAACCCTGAACTCTGTGTACAGAAAATATTTGTTCAGTCTCTTATTCTACCATGGTCTTAAGCGCTTTCCTACTCGTCTGCTTCTATTTTCAGTGACTGATTCACTATTATAGAACACGATTTAAGCAAATACGTATTTTCGGTAAATTTTCATCAGGCTTTACATTCACATAATGAAATATTAGTCATAGGCATTTGAATTACTGTGGTTAATAAACTATAGGATCAGGGTTCAGGGATGTAAATTAGTGGATAACGATCTGCGTGACCGTAAATAATAATAATAAGTATAAATTCATTCACGTGTTTATATAATCTAGGCAACAGTGAGTGTATAGGTAGAATGTGTATACTAGTAGGGGTAGAGGGGAAAATAACTGCTGTCATATTATTATTATTGTTCCCTTGGGTTCCTAGTGGAACATAGGGCTTCAACTGCACGTCTCCACTTGCTTCTGTCTTCTGCCATACTTTTCATCTGCATCCATGTTATTCCATACTGTTTCAACTCCTCTTCACACGATCTCCTCCATGTCACCCTTGGACGTCCCACTCGCCGCTTCCCTTTCGGGTTCCACTCGCGGGTGTGACGCGCGATGTCACCCAGCGGCCTCCTCAGCGAATGTCCAATCCATCTCCACTTTCTCCTACATATTTGTTGAGCGATTGGTTCTTGTTTTGTTTGTTCCCATAGTTTCTTGTTGGTGATTCTTTCCGGCCATCTGATCTTTTCAGTATAGAACGAAGACAGCTGTTGATAAAGGTCTGCAACAGGCTGTTGGAAATTTTTTTTATGACCCGCCAAGTTTCTGATCCGTATAGCAAAACTGACTTGACGTTTGTATTGAAAATCCGAATTTTGTTGTTGATGTTGAGGAGTGATGAAGATTTCCAGATTGGTTTCAGGTTGATGAATGTGTTTCTCCCCTTCCCGATTCTCGATTTGACATCCTCGTTCGTTCCTCCTGTAGTTGAGACAATGCTCCCTAGATAAGTGAATGAAGTAACCTCTTTCAAATCCCTCCCGTTGATGGTGATTGGCGTTGGATGTTGCTGCTGTTGTTGTTGTTGGTTGGTTATTTTCATAACCTCCGTCTTGTCTATGTTCATCTGGAGTCCTGGCTTTGCTGCTTCTTTGACCAGTTCGTCGGTCATATGGCGGTTAGATAATATAATGATAATGATAAATTGTTAAACCGAGAATAAAATGTACAACTACAGCACAGCATGATATTGATAATACACTTAGCATTACAAATAAAATAAAAAATATAATAAGATAATATTTATAGTTATCCGGTGTCACCAGGAGAGATAACTATTTTAGGTTGGGGGCGAAGGCCAAGGGAGGGAGAGGGATTGAACAAACTTTTTCTGAAAACAGAGATTGGGTTGAAGAATCTTTATGGCAACTGCCTCGGCTATGCTTAGCAACCGAAGACGTACCAACCTAGGGGGTTGAGGTGGCACCCTGTATAGAATTGTAAAAGCTGAATTTTTGTCATTCTTGTGCTCCGTATCCACTAGGTGTGACAGTATGGAACTTCTGAATAACTTTACAACTCCTTTACCTAACCACGTTGGACAGTGCTCTAGAAGGCGGCGGTGGGCTTGCTGAGTCGTTCTACCTATGTAACTGTCTCCACATGAACAGTTAAATTTATAAATGCACATTTAAGTGGCCAGGCTCGGTAGCTTATCCTTCACCTGCATTGAAATATTACAACGAGTGGAGGATTTTAAACACAATGTTGCGGCAAAGAATGTTTTAGCTATTATTGTTATCCACTAATTTACATCCCTGAACCCTGATCCTATATTTTATTAACCACAGTAATTCAAATGCTTATGACTAATATTTCATTATGTAAATGTAAAGCCTGATGAGAATTTACCGAAAATACGTATTTGCTTGAATCGTGTTCTATGATTCACTATTATATGTTCCTTTTGTTCATTTTACCAAGCTTTTTTCTCACCTTCTTTATCTTATCAAGTATACACCCAACTACCTTGCTCATCATTGAATAACGAATTTTCACTTAATCAAATTTCAAACTCTTCCTTCAATTATGTCGTTGACTGTTACTTAACCTTTTATGTTTAGAAACCAATTCTGAGTATTTGTATCAACTATCTCAGCCTTTATTACTCAATAATAGACTACTATGCACTTCTAGAAAATACAAATACGATTTTGCAGATGATTTCGTGAATAAAGAAAATTTCCTCCACTGAATTGTCTCTCACTTAAATTATACTAATTTAATTGTAAAACTTCGCAAGATCTTTTCATTAATAAAAAAAGATGTATTTAAGCTGAAATGTTTGTTGGCATATTTCAACTTTCAGGGCAAAAGGTTTAAGAAAGTGTACCATTCTAGGAATCAAGAGATAAACGCATACAAGTTAGAATGACTATTGAGTTATAACTCGCAATTACTTTTTCTTCTACAACTACTTGAAAAATAAAGAAGACAAAGTATTCTTTAAGTGTAACATTCAGGATTACGTGAGTCAGAGAAAATTATGAACACAAGCTCAATTTATTTATTTCTATTTCTCGAAGTTACTATTGTAACAGCAGACGGCAAGACACGGAAGCCAAGGTATATTTTCCACTGATCAAACCGCTGTTTAAATATATACAGTTTATATTCTTTAACCAATCACTGAGCGTGTGATTTCGGTTTACATTAAACGACATGAAGTAGAATGTTCAAATACATATATTATTCTGTTGCTAATGCACTATTGAATGTGATAATAATATTCCGTTGGAACACATTGTCTGTATCACACCACCACACTCGTTCCCCCGTCAAATACTTTAGACTGAAGTCGGTTCTATCTTCTTGGTGCTAGGGGCTTTGTTTGCATGTCTTGCTGTATCCATTTCTGGAGCTCGCTGGTGTTCACCCGCTTCTGTTTGCTTGCATTTCTGATGGTATATACGTGACCCCGTCTCACGGTGACCATGTATGGTCCTTCCCACTTTGGAAGCAGTTTGCGTGACCCTGGCGCGTATTCACCGGTGTTTCGCCTCACACTATTATATGCTGCCTTCTCCCGACCTCTTAGCAGTGTTCCAAGTAAAAGCCTCTTCGCTGACGGATGTTGAACTCCATTCAACTCCACAACAGCCTCGAAGTCCTGCAAGAAGATCCATATGTTTCCTTCTTCAAAAACTGCAGGGCATAGGCTTTCCATTTGTCGGCAGGCAGCGACACCAAATGTAACAGCAGAAGGCAAGACACGGAAGCCAAGGTATATTTTTCATTGATCAAACCTCTGTTTATATATTTACAGTTTATATTCTTCAACCAATCACTGAGCGTGTGATTTTGGTTTACATTAAACGACATGAAGCAGAATGTTCAAATACATATATTATTTGTTGCTAATGCAGTAATGAATTGTGGGAAAAGTACTCTGTCTCTAACAGCAAAAATGTTCAATATAATAGTATTCTGTTGCTAATGCACTATTGAATGTGAGAATAATATTCCGTTGGAACACATTGTCTGTATCACACCACCATACTATTATAACTGGGATTTGAATGAATAAAACAACCATGATTGAAATGTGTTATATTAGCGATTGCGGGAAATTATCATACACACTTCTCTGTCTTCAAGTACAAATCGGCAGTTCTTCGTTTAACATGTATCTACTGATTATCAAGGCTAAAGTGTATTACACCAAAAGATGATTGAATTATATGAATGAAATGTAGTTTTACGATCATAGAAGTGATCTACATTTACAATAAAAAACAAATACCAGGTAAGCGTTAAACGTTATGTAGCTGAGACTAAAACTACACCTGATTATTTGTTAGTTTTTTATCATTTCTTATCCTATTTGATTTCTACACTTATTTTTCAGAAAAATCTTACTCCTTTATGTTTCAAGTGGAACAAAAGGCTTCTAACACGAACTTTGAAATTTCAGTAGCAGTGGCATTTTATTTTTTACACGGTGGAGTTGCGTCGGTGGCACAGTGGTTAGGACTCTCGCCGACCATGCATATGGTTCGATCCCCTGCCGACGCACACCGATATCTATGGTCGGCCTGCAAAATTTGGGCTACCGATATCCATGCTGAAAATTCCATACTTGTACTGAAAATCGGTGTGCATAAGCTGTATCAAAAATAAAAAATCTCACGCCCAACCTTTTCTCTTTTCCAAGCTTGCTACCGACTAAGCGAGGTTAAGGACTGTGTCGGCTGTGATTTCAACGTTAGACAATATACGTGGTTAGTAGGCAGTCTATCAATGAACCACCGACGTACTCCTACACTTATGCAACAATGTTGTGTTCCTTTGAAGTCAACATTTTCTGATAATTAAGGTGTATCTTTTTGCCTTCCTCTGTCTGGTTTCAACATAGAACTTTGCACCAGTGTGCAGCAGTTCGAGTCGCCACACTTCACTCAGCACACAAAGCCAGAGAAGAAGGAGAAAGTAAAAAGAAACGCAAAATAGAGACAGTAAACAGAGATATGAAGCAAAAAGAATAGTAATATCGAAGAACAAAATAGTTTTATTGGAAATTATAAGTCACAAGGAGTGGATGCATCTGCACCACTGCAAACGATTTTGAGCCATATAACCAATTGTCTCCAGCCATTGGTGTTTACCGTCCCGAGGACCCCAACCAGGAAGTCTATATCTTCCTACGTGGCTTAAACTAACTGTTGTGGATTTCATTGACTTATGTGTATCTTTTATCTGTATCTTTTTTCATATGAATGGCTAACAATATGATTATATACCAAAAGAAAATGTATAACTGATAGTTTAGTTAAGAGTGTATAGCCATAGAGTGTGGAAGGAAAATGATTTAACTTACAATCAATTGTGGAAATACTAAGGCTACTATAGTATTACACATCCAGTTAGTTGCAACAGCAATAGTTACAGCAGCATCTCGATTTTCTTGAATGAACAATTCAGATACCAAAAACCATGGAATAGAACCTATAAATATTGAAAAAAATACCGACACAAAAAAACTGTCAACACATTGCCATATACTGAGTATATTTGTGTAATATAATTCTTACATCTACAGATTTTATGACAAATGAGACAGAAATAGATTTTTAGTGTACCGAAAATTAAATATTCGCTAATATCATCACTACATGATCCAACAGTAACCCTATAAACATTCGATACAAATACTCATAGAATGACCTAATTGAGTCACACAGTCATCTTTATGAATTTTCAGCATGGATATCGGTAGCCCAAATTTTGCAGGCCGACCATAGATATCGAGTGTGCGTCGGCAGGGGATCGAACCATTGCATGGTCGGCGAGAGTCCTAACCACTGTGCCACCACGCACACAAGATAACATACCTCACTAAATTTCTAATAAAATCAAATAAAAATTATAACACTCTGGACAGTCCTAACGGAGAACAATTGTTGTCATCAATTCAGACGACAACACTCTACATACTCTGATACGCCATCTGACGAAGATAAATGTTAGACCTCAGTAAGTGTGAATGTTTCGAAACCAGTCGTAGAGTACACGCTGCTCCTAACTTAAAATCTGATTTCTTCCAGAGGATTTAATTCAGATCTTTATTCAGGCTGCCACTAAATGACTATGGATTTTGCGATCACATACACTGTATTAATCAAGCAGGTTACAGACAGTCACAATAGAAAGATGTCTTTTTATTATAAATTTGTATGACTAATGATTCATAGGCCAGTCTGATAGGACAACCTCTGACTCCCCCACACACACTTGCATTCATCTGAGTTATTCTAGGAAATAATTCACTGCTGCAATCATTAAATACTTCGAGAAGAAAGCTACTGCATTCAATTAATTTCACATTTGAAATTTCGCAACTTAGATCACAGTTAGAGGACTGATATATACATCCTGCGTAAACCTGAAGTCACCAGTGTACCAGTGAAACGCAACTGTAGGTTAGTTGGCCTATTCTTCAAAGTGTACTTTCAAGTGTTCCATACACATCTTTCTTGGAAAAAGTCCAAATGAACGTACATCTCTTCAATGACCATAAATAAATGTTGAGTAGCACATTGTTTTGATGTTTGTTTACCTATTTTCGTAATTTTTTCACTGTCAAGTTCCACAAATGTTACGAAGCTTCTTAGGCTGCTATCCCTCTACACTATCATCAAGGTCAGTACGAGTGAACTTTCTTGAGTCAATCGTTCGTTGTACTGGAGATCTCGGACTGTTTCACTTTTACGCAGAGTTCGACATTAATGATAGTCAATCAGTCAATTATTCAGCGTGTATTTACAGAGATCTGCCATTTTAGTTAACTTCTCAAGTCAATCATGGTATGACCAGTTAACTGAATACGTTATTAGACTTCTTAAGTTTGTAAATTATTGACATATTAAAGTGAAGTACTTAATTATCTACGCATGATGTTGACGCTTTTATTTTTACACTGAGCATATTGTTCTGCTGTTTATTTCCTATGCCAATTCACTCAAGTCATACAAGTGCTTGTATTTCATTAGAATACTTATTGAAAATACAAATCAAAAAGTACACTAAGCTGTTTCACATGTCTGCAACTCAATGAGTCGATTCACAACTCATCATAAATGCTTTCAAAGATAGCTTAAAGAAAATACAACAATTATAAACAGTAAATTGGTTCAAAAATTTCTCTTTACAACCTGTACAATTAAATTTTATATGCTGATAATATGTCTCTTCAGTATTGAGAAGTTGATTTGATAAAAAAAAATAAGGTCATATATGACACAAAGAGAAATATCTACCTACCTAAACCTATTGAAAATCCGAATAGAAAAGTATACGTCAATCCAATTGATACAATTGTAAGCCAACTAACTTCTGTTGCCTGTTTAATAATCAATGCTAAGGTGAAAAGTGAAAAGCTGGCAAGACAAACAGATATGCTGGATATTAATAATGGTCGTCTGCCTTTACGATCAATAAGAAATATGGATGAGAATGCACCGATTAGGATTGTAAACCCAGTACCGAGATTTGCATACCTTGCTTGTTTTTCTGTTAAACCATTCGACATAAAGAGAGTGACACAGTAATAAAGAATCTGAAATTAAAAATAAAAATTATAGAAGTTTGACATCCACTACTAAATTGCAGCTTACCTTTTACTCTAAAAGCTCCCTTATATATAATATATATATATATATGTATATATAAATATATATAATTGTTTAGGTACCCATATAAGCTATTAATGCAGACTGATTTCATTAAACATTACTAAGTATATATGTTCAACAAAGAAGTGTGTACATCAGAAAAAACCTCTGAAATTGTGGTTGTTTTCAACTACCCGACATTTTCCATGGAAATTTATAATACAATAAATCGATATTCATCATGCTTCATAAAAATTCCACCGATCTAACCGTATAAGATTGTAAACATTTACAGATCAGTACCCGACAAACAGGTGAAAACTAAAGAGCACTCGAAAGCTGTTTTATCCCAGTTGGGGACTCAGACGAACACCCGCGACACCACAAGGGATTGATCTCAGGACTTCCATTTTACATGGTGACAACATCGCTTTTCGTTTATTTATTATTATTATTCCCTTGCGTTCCCAGTGGAACATAGGGCTGCCACAACACATCTCCCCTTTTTTCTATTTTCTGCCACCCTCTTCAGCTGGGTCCACGACTGACCATAATCTCTCATCTCCTCCACGCCACACGATCTCCTCCATGTCACCCTAGGACGACCCACTCAACGCTTTCTATTTGGATTCCACTCAAGGGCCTGGCATGCGATATCATTCAACGGTTTCCTCAATGTTTGCACGATCCATCCATCTCAATTTTCTCCTACATATTTGTTGAGCGATTGGCCCTCACCTGTTGGTTTGTTCCCAGCCAGAGTTTGTCAGTAATTCTTTCCGGCCATTTGATCTTCAGTTTGGGGCCAGCGAAGTGGGCAGCTGTTGGTAAAAGTCTGCATTAGCCTGTTGGAGATCCTTTTCGTTACACGCCAAGTTTCTGACCCGTATAGAAGGACCGACTTTAGTAAGTTTAGTAAGTTCAAATCCAATGTTTAGTGAATACCGAATTCTGTCGATTGGAGATATCAGGCCACCGCCATTGAGTATCAACCGATGAGTAAGAATTCTCACATCTGACATGGTGGACCACACCAATTACAACTTCTCGTTAAAACTCCAGGGAAATCATCGTGAAATTGGTCATTAATCAGCAGTGAAATAACATTTAGATATTGGGATTTTGAGGCTTCTCTGAATTTAAAGCTAGAAGTGAAATAGTTTGAGTCGGTGACAGAAGAAAACGCATATTCAGTGCCCGCCTACTAATATTCTTTTGCCTAAAAATGAATCCCTTCTTCACAAAACTCTTAAGTAAACAATAATCCAATACTTATCAGTGAGTTGCTTTTATAAGAATAACTTAAAGTTCTAGTGATACATCGTAAGTCATTAGTCAAATTACCTGCTTAAGGAAGGCAGTGTAGTGAATTGCATAGATAACTGGATTCCAACTAAGTGACTGAATAGTAGTATGTTTGTCTCTAGACCTGATGGCCTTCAACCCAATTCCACATGCATGCACACCATGAGGGGCATTAAAACCACGAAAACAGAACGATAATTTATTGCCTATTCACCTTTTGAAAGATTGATAAGATGTAAATGCATCCAATGGTATGCATATTCAAAAGATATTGAGTGGGTAGTTTGATTGGACACTAGTAACTAGTGTGATGTGTCTAGTCCTTTCTTTGGTGCAGACTGAATTCTATCAGTCAGGTTTGCAATGTGGCCACCATTCTAGGTAGCTCGCCATCACGGTGCACATTGATTTGATGATATTAGATAGTTGGAGGCAATCGGCCACAGGAAGCCTTGGACCTAGGTTTCGTGCTAGTTGGCACTCCCCAGTCAGCAAGGCGTATCTGCAACCTTGAAGGAACTCATGTCCCTTCTGAGATTCGAACCCGCTCAGTGGTAACGTCTCTGACTGCAACACTGGGTGACGCGGGTTCGAATCTCAGAAGGGACATGAGTTCCTTCAAGGTTGCAGATACGCCTTGCTGACTGGGGAGTGCCAACTAGCACGAAACCTAGGTCCAAGGCTTCCTGCCAATTGCCTCCAACTATCTAAGATATTGAGTGGATTTCTCTTAAATATTAGTGTTACGAACTACAAGTGTATTATTAAAGTCAGAGTCAACTAAATCTGCGACTTTTTTGATCTAGACAGTTCCATTCGCAACCGACTATGTTACCATATACGTGACTGATTGCCGAGTATATGCAAGTGCATCATTATTGCTAACAATGACTACTTGAAACATAAAAACTAACAACTAATAGACATATCATTAAAAATGTTTTAGATTTTCAGAGAATTAAGTCTGCATTATATTGTGAAAGGTAAAAATTTTATTTTTAAAAAAGCAATACTTACCCCATTTATACCAGAAAACTGTTGACCAATATGTGGTATGAGAGCCGTAATTAATGACCATCTTAAATATGGAACACGTAGTAGATCACAAATATTCGCTTTACGTGTAAGTGAACACTCCATCTCTCTCTTTAAAATCTCTAATTCAGATTGTATATCACAGTCATCACCTCTTAAAGAAACAAGTGCTAAATAGATTTTTTTTGTTAAAGTAATGAATGAACTAAAGAAGAAAATTTACCATTTTCTGATCTTCGGCGGTCTCCTTTGACAATATATAAATAGGTAGGACTTTCAGGACAAGTTGATAATAACATAATATGTATAATACTGGAAACAATACATAATGCTTTGAAAAAAAAAAACATATAAACTATTTTATTTATCATACCAAGTAGATAAGGCCATAATTCATCTGTTCCCATTACTTCAGGTAAACCAAGCAGCTGTGATAATAGAATAGCACAAACAACTACGAGTTGATTTAATGTGCCAGCAGCTCCACGAAATGATACAGGAGCTATTTCTGACAGATACATAGGTCCAACCACGGTATGAGCACCTTTGAAAATAAAGTTTTACAAAAAAAAAACACAAGTGTTTACCACACGCAATTCCAATTATAAATCTACCAGCGATGATCATTTCGAAGGATTGTGATGCCTTAGAAAATAACATTAAAAGTGATCCAATAATTGTTGGAATAGACAACAGAAGTAGTGATTTCTTTCTGTAATGAAATAATCACTCGAATGATAGCGATAACTTACCGACCAAATTTATTAGCGAGAATACCACCAATAAAACCACCGAGAAATCCACCAACAACGAAAAATGTAACACAAATTGACCAAATCAAATCAATGCATTGTTTATCACATTGCATCATTCTAATCATGAAAGTAGAATTTATAAAATTTTTGATTAACTAAAATTTAAATTTTTCATTTAGATTAAAATTGACTAACTCACTTCAGCTGGTGCATTTATAACGCCTGATTGATATCCAAAAGGAAATGAACTGCCTAATGTTATGGCAAAATATGGTAGATAGGATTTTAACCAGGTCATTGTATGTTTATGTTTATTTCTCTGATAACTATGATAAGAAAAAATATAGATAGAAAGAGTTAATTGAAGAAATCATGAGGTGAAACAAAACGAAACATGTGCGTTGGTGGTTACTTTCACCTTTGTTTAGTAAGTAATATATTAAATCTGCTGTAAAATTTCGTCCTAAATGATACAATTTGATTATACGTATTCCGATAGATAGAGTGGGATTCGAACTTGTGAACTTATCAGCTTCCTAGGTCAACTGACCACAACTTCGCACAAATACAAATGAATACAACCTAGACTCAAATAAAATCTAGGTTCCCCAGTATAAAGTAATGGTGTAACTGTTAACTGATTGATCACTGAGGAGTGATCAATGGCTTTATCGACCAAATCGAAATAAAAAAACACACCATGAGAATCACTTCCAACCAAATAAGATAGTATAGCTGTCAAAGAGGTAAAACAATTTGTCAAACCTTTACGACGAAATTTCCAGAATATTTTCCCTTTTCGAATCATTCATGTGGTTCAGTAATTCTCTCGGATAACTAATTAAGAATAACATGAGACTGAGAACTTGACTTATCAACGTGGAAATGTGTACTAAAAGTGTTACCTAATAATATTTATAATTCGTATTTCGTGAAATAGAATTTTATTACACGATTCTCTTGACTGCATTATTAATTACTCTTTCATTTTGTACATCTCAGTTGTTTGTAAGTAATAAATGAGGTTCTGAACACTTTTTTTGTTTCAAACTGACTGTTCAAATGCCGTACTACTGCTAGCCAACTTGATGTTGCAGGTTAACAGACTACATATGAATCAATAATACTTCTGGTGTTATTAGCCTGATAGTGTTTTAGCAGGTCCGTCTGATTTATGTACATTCTAGTATGCGCACAGTCCTATCGTAGATGAAAATTAAAGCCATAAGAATGTCCAATTGCAATAACAATTGCTGAACTGATTTATTAATAGCCAACATGTTTATATTTTCTAATTTCGCGAAGGGTAAAACTAATGTCGTTATACTTGTAGAAAAAGTCGAGACCTATTGTGTTTTCTCAGGCTTGCTGCTGGTTGTTCAATTAGGTTTCCTACTTTTGACCGGTTCAACTACCTCACCTTACAACGTTTAGGCAGTCAGGAAGTACTACAATCCTCGTATACTATTTGTGGCTGATTGGCTAGTACATGAATATGTAAATAGCATTCGCATCGCAGGGAGGTTTGTTGTCTTGGACTGCAACTAAGCGTTCTTTAATTATAAGTCCTGCAATATTAAACACTACATTATTTGATCCCTGTCTCACAGAACTTAATTATCGACAATTGGGGTTAGTCAAAGACAATAACTGTCAAATTTCTCAGACCAATCAATATCCTGGTGTTTTACTAGTTTTCTGGATTATCACATTTAAAGATTTCTGTTTGCACTCATTTCAGAGGATATCTATGCCCATTTCAAGTTATATAAAATATTCTCGAAGTCCAAAGTGATTGTTAGTGAAATGGTTCACGTGTCGACTTTTGTATTCAAATGAACATATCTGTTATTATACTAGAGGTTCGTATTGGCTATAAACAAGCAGAACTTTAGATAAGGACCGTCAGCAATAATCAACCATCACTAGATTTCAGAATTATAAGTGGCCACATTTTTGATTCTCTCGAACTTTTTTGCTAAATGAGAATGTTCTGAAGCCTATAGCTTTTGTAATTGGTATTTCAACACCAAACAAATTACGAACTTAAATACGAGAGCTGTTGCCGATTGGTACAAGAAGTACTATCCAAGCTAATAGAATAAATAAATTAACTCGAATTTTACTTTAATACATTAGCGAATGGAATGTCAGTAATACTTAATGAAACCGGTTGTCTACACTTAGCAGTTAACAAGTCTCATCTGTCTCATAAGTGGCATTATTGCTGCTTTTAGAAATACACATCATAAATTATTCCATTTCAATCAGTAAACATACAGTTTATAAGGCTACTACTAGCAGCTAATGTTTTTTCTAGCTTACACAAAATGATGAATAAATCAGCCACAAAATGATACTGTCATCTTTAATAAACTACTTAGTTTCAAAACGCGCTGCTTTAACTGACGCATATAAATTTATCTAGCTATTGAGGATTTGTATTTGAGAGGGTATTTTAACTACCAAGTACATATTTGGAAATCCTCACCTACGAACGCTGTGATGGCATATTTAACCCTAACAGTGAACCTCACTATTAATTGAATACAGCTTTGTACCAAAATCCTGAAACAGGCTGTCTGTTCACTGAAAATTATACAAATTCAGATATTATGCGTTGTTATCAAAATGTAAGGATTTTATAACACTGATAAATCGTGGCAAAAATGATTAGCTTAATTTTGCACAAGGCATTTTGCAATGACTGAATGGAAAGAGAATTTTGTTTCCCTCTCAATATTGAAGAATAACACACTACACTGTGACACTAATTAATGCAGCACACATTAGATAAATTAGTTCTTGATTGCTGACGTCTGCAGGAAGTGGATACAATGACACAAATGGTGACATGAGGCTATCTTTTCTTCTCCTATAACGAGAAATAATGACAATTCGGAATTAGGTTAAAAAAACTCCACATCAACGGTATTTACAGGTATCACCCAAGAACAATTTAATTTAAAGCCAGCTTATGAGAACTGCGGTTACATATCATGCATATCAACAGACAACTTCCCAGATAACCACTTGGTGGTTTTTCAACATAAGGAGTTTATTCGCTGTTTCATTTTATCACTGTCGAAATTGATTCCTGCATAAAAAAGTAGTGCATCTCCTTATTACTTATGAGACATACTATTACAATGGGCTCTAAGTTTAGGACATATAATTTAGACAAAAATCCTTCACATTTTTCCCTAGTAAGTGTTTGGCATTTTGATATATGGCGGACTCTTAATTGTATATCCTAAACAGATTCAACTGTCATCATATCTTTGTGAATTGAGGTATGGATACTCTGTAGGTTATACCAGCAGTATATCGCTGATGGGACTAATCTTTACAATAACAAGGACAGTTTTCCACTTGCTTCACAACTGTAAGTCTTTAAGGTCCTCGTATATGAGTGCTTTAGGTTAGCAGAAAATTCCATCAGGAGCCTTTCGCAGCATTTAGTAGCATGCTCGCATCTTAAATTGAAGTTATAAAAAGTGAAGGTATTTCACAAGTGAATTCTTTCTAAAATTAAGTTATCGGTAACTGGTGCCAAACTGTATCTTAACTAGTCTAATTAGTGTTACCCATTGGCTTAAGCAATCGACTTTCAGTCGACAGGTACTACGTTTGAGTCTCTCCACCTACTTCTGCATAATGAGTGAGGCGCAGCCCGCACCAAGTCACCATGTTGCAGTTTATAAAGTAACCTAAATAGTATTGTTACTGAAATATCTAACAAAATTGCTTTAAAATATAACATCCATTGTCATGGGGAGGGAAAGCGTCAGTATAGTAATTAGAAGCACTATCAAGACTTATATCCATGCCACTGTAATAGCCCTGTGTTTTCAGTTGTTAGTTGTTGTCCGATAGGCTCCAGAGAATCCCATAACCGGCAGAGCTTGTCCTTGGATAAGTGTAAGGGCTTAGATGTCATTCATAAGGTATGAATAAGAGTGAAAACTTAGACTTACACACTGACTGAAGCCTAAATTATGTCAGTTAAAGGATCCCATGAAAACTAATTCAGTTTATCCAAAATTATATCATTAGAGGGAGGTCGACTACATAGATCAAGGTAGTGAACCAGGGCTATTTAGACTGGCAGAACACCAAAACTTGGAGAAATCTAGACTAGCAGACACCGATAAGATGACAATTCTTATCCAGGAGGAAACTCAGTTATGGCACTAAGTACTATTATACACAACCCAACAAGAAGAGAGAGTAAAGTGAGTCCTACACCCGTATACACCAGGGGGAAAATAAACAAAAACTTAGAACCTCTCCCAAAAAATTCGCAATATTCCACTGCTTATACAATAAAGAGGAAAAACTACAACTTTAATGAAAATTCCATCCAGCAAAAAGGGGTAGACAATCTTTATATTAAGAAAAATGATATGAAATAAAATACTACCGCACTGTCCAAGTTTTAAACATATGCAATTTCCATACAGTTTACACATAGACAGTTAGGTGCACTCACTCCTCAGCTCTTTCTAAGGTTGTACAAAACATACGTCAGACCGCACCTTGAAGTGCATAATATTACTGCATCCCCACTGCTTAGAAGAGACGCCAACCTCTTGGAAAGAGTCCAACGACGGGCAACAAAAGGAGTGGTTGGTCTCCGAAATAAACCATATGATGAAAGGCTGAAGAAATTAGGCCTATTCACACTTAGCTACCGTCGTCTTAGGGGGGATTTAATTACTGCCTACAAAATAACAAATGACCAGAATCACCCAAATAAAGGTGTTCTGCCATTGAGTAGGTATAGGCTCCCTTGTGGAAATCCCAGAAGGATAGCTCACCCGGGTGCGCTCCCACTTTTCGCTGCGGGTTTGCCATCCCTGGAATTCCTTACCGGCAGGTGTAGCTATGGCACCATCTGTGGACGCCTTTAAGCGAAGGCTGGACAACCATGCAGCGACACAAGGACTGCATCCAAATGGTCTATCCCCTTAAAATCGCACACACCATTCAGGGGTAGACAATTAAACTTGTCGTTTTACTTCTTTACATGAAATAAAATAGATTAAAAGCTTTGATGTAGGGAAACTTCCATGTGAATGGAAACGAGCCATCCTATCCCCTATCTTCAAGGGTGGTGACCGGCAGAACGCGACCAGTTACAGACCAGTTGCGCTACTCCCAGTGATATCGAAGATATTGGAAAGTCTCATTGACGACCACATGAGAAAATACTTCGACGGGACTAACCTACTCCATGAAGCACAGCACGGTTTCAGGAAGGGAAGATCCTGTGTGACGAATCTTCTACTAGCTTGGAACGATTGGACACTATCCTGGGATGTAAAGGTACCAGTCCATGTGATCTTTCTCGACTTTGCGAAAGCATTCGACACAGTTCACCATGGTCTGCTCCTTCACAAAATAAGCAAAGCGGGTGTTTCTGGAGCACTTCTCGCATGGCTGGAAGATTATTTAGGCGAGAGAGAATTCTGCACCAAAGTCAACCGCATCCGATCATCCTGGCACACCTCGGCATCAGGGGTTCCTCAGGGTTCTATCTTAGGGCCGTTGATGTTTTTGATTTTTATCAATGACCTGCCCTGTCAACTGAATTGCTCTGCGCTTCTTTACGCTGACGACGTAAAGATTTGGAGAGCAATGAACTCATCGGAGACTCCGACAATTGTAGGCTGACCTGCAAACGCTGGGGGACTGGGCTCTGGCTAACGGAATGCCTTTCAACTTAAAGAAGTGCAAAGTAGTGCAACTTCATTCCGGCAGGTCACAGAGTGCAAATTACACCCTTGGTGGCCAGAACTTGAGTTGTGTGCCATCAGAACGCGATCTAGGCCTTATTTTAACAGAAAAGCTAGACACCAGTGTAAATTACACGAGGGACGTCGCCAAAGCTTACGGCACTTTACACTTTATGCATAGGCAACTGGGAGCTCTTACTCCTGAACTATTCCTAACGTTGTATACGACATACGTGAGGCCACTCCTTGAGGTGCATAATATCATTGCTCCTCCGCTACTCAAAAGGGATGCTAACATGCTAGAAAGTGTCCAGAGACGAGCGACAAAATGGGTGATCGGCCTCCGCAACAAATCATATGAGGAGAGACTGAAGAAATTAAGTCTTTTCACACTTAGTTACCGTAGTCACAGGGGAGATCTCATCACCGTCTATAAGATCCTAAATGACCAGGCCCATCCTGATAAGAGCATCCTGCCATTAAGTGATTATAGGCTTCCACGAGGTAACCCGCTAAGGATAGCACACCAGAGACCAAGGACTCGAGTGCGTTCACATTTCTTCTCGCTTCGAGTTTGCCGTCTCTGGAACGCTTTACCGGCGGCCGTAACTACAGCTCCATCTGTGGAGATTTTTAAGCGGAAGCTGGACAATCACGCAGAAATGCATGGTTTGTGTCTCAATGGCTTACCCTCTTAAAATTTGAAACCACATTGTCAATGGATAAGCATACAAGCTAAATCCCCACGACCCGTCCTGTCTTCTCCCACTGTACCGACTACTCTATCTTTTCTTTCTTTCTTTATTATTTCACTTATCTCAACTTATATTATCTACACTACAACCTATTATTATCATTATTATTATTATTACTCTACTTTTATGACTATACCGAATGACCAACGGGTGTTAGGTCAAACTCCATTCACGGCAGCAGCTGAGTCCTAACATACTGCACACTACAAACCACAATCTTGACCAATCCTCGCATCACTCCTCCTGGAGTCTACCAGAGCTAAAGCAGTCGAGTGGCGGGATTTACTACGCATAAGTTCACCGAAGATCTGGAACCCCTACCTTAAAATCAAGAAGCGAGCTCAAAGAAATCACTGGTTTATACTAGCTCGTAATCAGGATATTGGATAATATTCTCTCCCGTCTTACTCTCCTGACAGCTTTAACTACACCTATTATTATTATCATTACATTTATATATATATATATATATATATATCATTCATATTATTCTTCAAATTTAATCAGCTGACTGTCGTTACGTTTTCTTATTCTTTTTCTGTCTGTTAGTCTGAATAACTTCACTAATTATATCTATTATTATTATTATCTCTTTTCTTTTGACGACGATACCGGAGGACTAACTGGTGAAAGGATCAACTCCATTCACAGTAGTAACAGTCTTAACACACCTCATACTACAAACCACCTATAATTAATCCCTGCACTACTCCTTTTGGAGTCAACCAAAGCTACGACAGTCGAGTGGCGGGACGAGCTACGCAGAAGTTTACCGAAGATCAGGAACCTATACCTCACAATCAAGAGGCGAGCAAAAAGAAATCAAATTGGTTTATACTAGCTCGTAAAAACGATATTGGATACAGCACATCCTGTCACTGAACTCCATGCAGCACACAAACTTTCACTCGCATATTTGTCCATGCTTGCGCCTTCGGATATCTATTCATGACCCCGGTTTACATACATGTCGCCACTTCATCTATAAACAAGTGCTCACGGATGATGAATTATGACTTAAAGTATTTTAGTCACATGGATCCACTCTCGAGTTAGGGGTTATTTTAAACATGCACTTGTAGCGGTAAATAATTCCCCAAAATTATTGACCACAGCAATCATCATTCAACATTGGATGCTGACCCTCACTGTTTAAGTCGACTTGTTTAGCTGAAGGCTTCCGGTCAAGCATCCCCGCCATTTGGTACTCCGTCGTGTCACGTGCGTGCACGATTACTAGCTAGCTAAGCATTCACTTCAACCCGCGATTTGGTCCCGAAATATAATACGTACTTTGGACGGCTAAATCTGGTCTTTTGCTTTATCTTTGGTACTCGAAGTGCAAACACTATAGAAGTTGTTGGTATAAGATCTTGCGTTAGTATAATCCGTACAACTCGCGAACGTCGATACCGTCAGCCTCTAAACACTATTGACTGAACTTAAGGTACATACATTAGGTGCTCATGGCATCCCAACTAGCTGAAACATTGGGCAGAAAAATTTAGGCACACATAGGTGTGTAGAACCCATTTTCCCGATGTTATACTCTACCACAGTGCCCAAGTTTTATACTTATATCAATAATACATATTGTCAGTGTTTCCTTTGCACTCGCGACTTATTACCCAAAGTACGCGTCTGTAGGTGGCATGAAGTTTTGTTAATTAAACTGAAAATTTATGGTTATGCATATGTCATTATGGGAAAATAATTGACCCTAACATAATAAGTATTCCCTTTATTTTGGAAAAAATTTTTTACTTAGGTATTAATACCGCCACTTAAGTAGAAAGTTAGGGAAATAATAATAGAAAATCGAAAAAGTATGCAGATTGTCTGTTTTATAATTTAAAATTTAAGAGTAAAGCTGAAATAATTTCCAAAACACTATCGAGTTAGTACTTTGAAAAAACCCAGAAATACTTACTAAAATATTTGGCAACTAACGTACAGTTACCGTTTCTGAAAACTGAAAATTATGAAACACTAAGCGCTATCATGGTGATATGCAGTCAATACATAGTATACAACACAATAGTATACAATCACGAAAAGCCAATCAAGGAAAGTGACCTTGAAGGGTTGTCTTAGTGGTGCAAACAACCTTGGCAAAAAGCATTGTGCACCTTATATTAAGAAGCATTTTAGTACAGTGCAGATCGAATATAAAAGAGAACGAGTAAGGTTAAAGGTATTTGTTACAGCAAACAGAAAAGAAGATGATGTTGAACAACTGTAGAATAACAACTATATGGACTGTATTATTGAGCGTCGCCGTGTTATTACTCCTTTGGGTTCCGAGTGGGAGAGAGGACTTACATAGACTGTGGTTTAATGTTATTCTTCAGGGATATAGACTGTAAATGAATGACACGCTGCTAGATACAGTCAACATTTACTATGCTTTGAAACGATATTTAAGCGGTTTCAGCAGGGTGGTTGGTTAAATAGTTGGTGAGACTTGGCAGTTAGCAAAAATTTAAAGCAGGTTGGGATTTCTAGAAATAAGCTATATGATTGCGAATTTTTGGTTTTCTAACAGCGTGATCTTAGGAAATGACTTCTTCAAGAAAACAATAACTTGTACTGATCAGTTCATAGAGCTTCACTAGCATTGTGATGCACAAATGTTTACGATGCTAAAAGCACCATGCCTTTCAAGCAGTTTGTATCGAGTAGACTCAACATTTATTACTCTGATCGGCTGTTTCTTTGTAATTGTCCTGAAGTGGTTGTGTTAATTGTTTCCAGCCATTTGTGTCCATCATTTTAAACCCAGCTGTTCCGATGAACAATTGCCTTGAAAGTTAGCCGGCTCTTATGCCTTACTATTTTGTGTGGCCAAACTTCAATATTTGACACGTTAAAATGGATTCAGAAGGCAGTACTATTTATGTAAGCCTCATACGAGTCAGGTTAGAATGTCCAGTAAGTAAACGTAGGCCAAATAATACTTTTATCATTTTTATTCTACATTTTTGAACCTGCTGAGGTAAATTCACATCATTTCTTATGGGCAGATTTACTTCATGTAACCCATGGTCTGGCTGTCTCAAATGTTTAGGAACTATGGTACAAGGAACACCCTACTTAGACGCATCAAACTCCATGTCTGTCAACTTTTGATGATCGTAATTCACAATCTTTCGAGGTCCACAGCTGAAAGTTCACATTGATTCCTAAGCATCTGAATCTGGGTAGCTCATTCTGTGCATGAGGCCAGTCGAGTGGGTTTATCTCAGCCGACAGGCACAGCCATACATTTCGAGTGGCTACATAGTGGAACGAGATAGCATGCTACTGGACGAAAATTCTTTACACTGGAGCTACCTTACGACTTAACTTGAAGCCTTCCTTTGACTACATGGGACACTTGTAAGAAAGTTTATTCATCGGGGTATTTTCCAGCCATCAAGCTGATACATCTTCTTTCGCTGCCTTAGCCCAGGTACAAGTTATACGACAACAGAAGTCGTCAAGTCCCAGCTTTTGAGATGTGGCGCAGTATCAACACAGCTGGCATGATATTTTGACAAGCCAGAAACTGCAGTATGCTAAAAACCACAAGTATGCATCATGATATTACAAAACTAAAAGTCCCCAATAAAGGTTCAGGATTAATAATAATATATTCTCAGTTTTGTATATAAGGGACGCCAATTTCCAGGCATCATCAATATGGTAAATAACATATACAAGAAGCAAGAATATTTACAATCATTCACTTTCACAATGGCTGCACAAATATGGGGAAAGGTGATGTAATTGTATCTATAAGGTCACATTACATAGGTGGGAGCGATGTACGCGGCATAATACAAAGATTGCGTGATTGTTACATTCTTTCCGAAAACCTTGGGGTAGAGGTAATAATTCTGGACATAAGACATAATCCAGCAGATAATTTAAGTATCAGAACAACTTCAACTTCCTATTACATAGCAGGCCAACATCCTCCGAAAAATGATACGTTGAAAATATCCACAAAATATCATTGTATAAATAATAAATAATTTATATTTCCTATAAACGAGTGAGTTTACAAGAAATGTATGCCACTTTCACAGGCACGATCAGTAAAGTTTTAAATTACAATCCTGAAGTATTATAAATTAATACTTTTTCAAAAGTTTAAACTGTTCAATTATTGTACAAACAATCAGAACACGTTCTTATAAATGTTAAATTGTAAGCCTTCCACCAAGGTCACCGTCGAAGTTGAGCGACAACCTGAACTTCGATCCGTTTTATGCTGATAGTTATGGTCAGCCAGTGAACAGCGTATATCTGGGTGAGTGTTATGCTGCCTAGTGATTGAACGCTATTTCAGGAAGAGAAGAAAATTCTGCGCAGCTGCAAAATGGTATAAAATGCAATTATGAATAATACATTACTGGAAGTATATTTACAAGATAAATACAAGGAGAAGAAGCTATATAGTACTTGAAATGATAGTTTACATTTGCAGTGTTTAATGCCAACCATATTGGTCTAAGCATGGAAACTATCACGTTTCCGATCAAAATATAGCTTTGTTCAAACATTGGTGTTGTTGTGTTTTTAATCAAAGCAACCAGACTTTGGGCAAGCAACAAATATGAACAAAGAGCAAGTTTTAGCTTCAATAACGGCATAGGTAGTTAGATCAGATAGAGTATAATAGTGCGTAAATAGAAAGATTATTGTGAGGTAGGTAAGTGATATTTAAGTGAGCGGTGAATTCAAAGATCTGGAAAATTAGAAGCTGTAGAACAAGCTGACCTGCAAGATGCCTCACGAATTTCTGTAGGGCCCATGTGGTAGCATCTTGAAAAGAAGCTGAACAGGCTTGTAGATATTAGGAGCAAAAGCACTTTTTATTTATAATTTAGATCTGTACAACCCCTATTATATTTTGCCGAGGGTTCAGACTAATGTTTAATTCTCGAGCTGTCAAAAAATGCATGTTGCTGCCCTACGGATTGCAGCGATTCACAATTGTGACCACTACCACATCTGCTGATCAGCATGCGCCATCCTCCCTCCTTTTTGATGTTAAGCTCTGAGATTTTTTTGCAATAATTGTAGTCGCAGCATTGCATTGCTTTGAGCCGGTCCCAATCATACAGTATTCTGTACATTGAAAGCTTTCATGACAAGCGCTTCCCATTAGGTCACCAGATACATCGATACCTGAGGATATTCTTAGTAGTATCACCTTTATACATGGATACATGTACACAAGTATTTTTACAAACGCCTAGGAAATTGCGTTTAATTCAAGAAGTATAAAGTATAAAAGTAGCTAGTATTACAGCAACTAAGTTATAGTCTATTTAGCAGAGTTAAATGGGTAGTAGAACAATTAGTGATAAAATTATTTATGATGATGCTGAAGAAAACAGCTGGTTAACAGAGCTAGTTATGCTAGATTTTCATGACTGATTTTCATACAGTGCGCATCAGACATTGCAAAGTAACCCTTCAACTTATATAAAGTTAAAAATACTGCGAAATGTTATAAAATCATACATTTTAGAAAAGTATATGAGAAAAGGTGGTTACTGACTGAGTAAAGTCATTTCGACACAAAAATAGCATTGTATCATTAAGTGTATATATATGTAAAATATTAAAAGTTGTAGTTGCTAATATAGTTATTTCCAGAGTTACTTAGACCAACACAACTTAGTAAAGATTATAGAGAATAGAAATCAGTAAATTAGTTAAACGTTCGCTGCATAAGTAGCAGAGTCGAGCTATACGTATGTGAATATACTGTAAAACATCCTTAGATTTTTTGAGGACATTGACCCATACACCATTATACCCTAGGCTTTTGAGAGGAATTAGGAGAATTGACGTATTTAGTGGGTACCAATTTTGTTAAGACATCGGAATTAATCATCCATTCCATTTGCAATATCTGAAAGCCCAATATCTGCTGGATGGCTTATAGAGGGTAACTTAGATGCACCGGCATCAAAAGAGAAAGGAGAATTGATATTAGGCGGTCGGAGGCAATCGGAAGGAAGCCTTGGACCTAGCTTTCGCGCTCGTCAGCGAGGTGTGTCTGCAACCTTTAAGGAACTCTTGTTCCTTCTGAGATTCGAACCCGCATCGCCCAGTCCTGCAGTTAGGGACGTTACCACTAATCAACTCGGGGTCGCGATTCACTTCCTATTAGACTGTACTGGATACTTTTAATTGGACCCTAATTAGCAACTAGACACATCACACCAGCTTTAAACCGGTGTCCAATCAAATTAACGAAGGTTTATTTATCTGATTCCCATTAGTATTCTCTTCAAACAACTTTCAAGTACTGGAGGAATTTGTGTATGATGTGAACTTCCGAGTACGTATTGCATCAAACCGCTGTGCATAAGACTTGCTTAAAGTATTTATTTCTTTAACACGAGAATTATCAAGTGGTTTTATTGCACATTTCTGCCAACTGTGGTGTCGTAGTCCATTTCCATTGGCGGTTCAATGGAAAGTTATATTTTTTTGTTTTTTTAGTGAAAGTTTACAGGAAATCTTTGTCTAATAATATTTTATTCACATAAATTAAGCATTTGCATGATTGACACACCGTTTTTTCAGGCATGACCATATTTGACAAGTGCAATTTAGGATTGAACACTATTTTATGATATAAAAATTGAAAAGATGGAAAAAATTCCATAAACTTTATAAGAAGTTTATAATGTTTATTCCAAATGGGATAAGTTATAAGATGTTGGTTTAGGTTTAAATTTTAATCGTTAATATACTTATAGTCAGTCAAATTATCTGTGGCATTATATTCCTAAACTTAGCTACATTTGCGATAATTTTATCAGAATATCTGGATGAAAATAACATCTGCCCAATGCAATTGATTAAAGATACTAACGTATATTACTGAATTTTCGTGAAAGGATGCCGATATATTTTGGCCTACCTAGTGAAACGTCCTAATACCCACCGGATACAGGCGGAGCCACCACAAAACAGGTATATGACATATAATCACCTAAGATTATCTTTCTTCTTATATAACTATCCCCTTTCTCCGTGAAGCTTTTAGAGCCTAGAAGAAAAACATTCAGATTCCTTATGCGCAAAATTTGAGGTAGCATGTTAAGTTTGTGGTTGTTTTTATCGGTCACTTGTTCGATAAACTTAT